ACCAGACCCTGCGGAAGGTGCAGGTGTGGACTTTGCCCCAGGGTGAGCAGCTGGTGTGGCCCAGGTGTGAGCTGGGGGGAGGGGGGGTTGCCAGCTGGATAGAGTCCCCCTCAGGGCCTGGGTGTTGACTTTGGCAGGTGTTGGCCACCTGCCTGCCCCCACCCAAGCCAACTTTAACTCCTTCCCTGATCCCCATGGGGAGGGGGCTTTCAGTGGATACACCCCAGGTTTAAAGCCCAGCTCTACCACCACATGGGTACTGCCACCTTCTGTTTGTCAAAGGGGCCGGGCCCACCTCCCTCCCAGTAGGGCTGACTCACCCCAGCCCCGGCTTCAGCCCACGGAGGCCAGAATGGCGGTCCTCAAATGCAAGACCACCCTCAGCCACCACCACGACCACCTGGTCCTGCCTTTCCTGGCAATCTGTCCCCACGGCTGGGTTGCTTCATTTGGATCCAGCTCACCCCCTCAGCCCTCATGGCCTCAGTTTCCCCAGCTGTTTATGGCTGCTCCCTGAGCCTCACAGGGAGGCTCCAGAAGGCCTGGGTGAATGGGAACAACCAGCATAGGAACCCCTGGCAAAGCCATTTCTCAACTGCCCCGCGGGGCTTTTTTCCACTTTAAAGGAGGACCCAACTAGCCCCCATTTCCTGCCCAGCCCTCCGCCCCACCCCGTGTTCCGGGAGAACGAGTTTGAGGAGGGGAAGAGAAAGGCAGGAAGCCTTTCCCCATGCAGGGCAGGGCCGCCGGTATGGGGGCCCCCGCCCCGCCCCATCCCCCAGCCTCAGCCCACCTGTCAGCCGGTCCCACCTCTTTCTGACAATCTGCCGACTCTCCCTCAAGCCTGCCACTAGGTAAGGGGCCCCGGAGGGCTCGGCACTGTCCCCCGTCACTAGATGTGGGGCGCCCCAGCAGGTGCAGGGGAGCTCAGGAGCTTCTTCCCATCACCATATGGTCCCATCTCTTGTCCCCGGCTGGGCTGTCTGCCCCGCCCGCGCCCCATTAACGCTCCCCGATGAGCCCAGCTGGGTGGGGGCGAGGGAGGAGGCGTCCCCCGCTGCCTGCCTTTGTTCCCCAGGCCCCGGGCCTCCCCCTAAGCCCCTGTCCCCCCCAAGACCTGCTGGGACGCGGGGGCGCGGGTTGGGGTGCGCTCCCTCCGACGGGGTCACCTCGCGTGGGGACGCCGCCCTCAGACGTTCCGCCTCCGAACTCGCTGCGACCTGGCCCTGGCTGCGACCCAGACCCCGCAGCCGCAGCCGCCGCCGCCACCACCGCTGCCCGCAGCCACCCGGATCCCGCGCCGGTCCCGCCCAGGCGTGGGAGGAGGGGCCCCTCTCGGGGAAGGGCGGGGCGGGACCGGGGCGGGGCCTGTGGAGACCGAGGATTGGGGGGCGGGGGCGGGGGAGGGGCTGGAAGTCGCACCGCGCGCGCAGCTATCAGTTCCCTGACAATAAATATTTCATTTTCACTAACCATACGTGGAGCTCCTACTACGTGGACAGCAGCTAAGCTAAGGAGCTCCTACTACGTGCACAGCAGCTAAGCAGCACGGACTCTGGAGCCGGGTTCGAATCTCAGCTCCACCACTTTCTAGCCTTGTCGCTTTGGACATGTTAACCTCCCTGGGTCTCATTTTCCCCATCCGTCACGTGGTCGATAACGAGGGTACCCACCTCACAGGGTTGTGTAAGGGTTCTGATCTGAGTTAGTGTTTGTAACATGCAGCGCCTGACCTAAACTGGGCTAGAGCCTTTCCCAAATACCCTTAAGGGCCCTTAGAATTAACCACCACCACCACCCCCCACCCCACCCCACCCCACCCCCACCCCCACCACCACCACCACCGCCTTTTACAGGTAAAGAAACTGGAGATCAGAGAGGGGCAGACGCTTGCCTGAGGCCACACAATTTGGCAACCAGGCCCAGCTGAGGTCCCAGACTTTTCTTCAAGCCAACAGAAGAGAATCTGCAGTTATAACAGTTCAGGCTTGGGACTTCCCTGGCGGTCCAGTGGTTACGATTCTGTAATTCCACTGCAAGGGGCACAGGTTCTATCCCCTGGTTGGGGAACTAAGATCCCACATGCCATGAAGCGTGGCCAAAAATTTAACACAAAACAAAACACAGTTCAGGCTTTGTTGGGCTTCAAATCCCAACAACTGCGCCTGAAGCCACTTGCTGAATTTCTCTGAGCTCCCACTGCTTCATGGAACAATGTTAGCCACCTCTAAGGGCTGTTGTGGACAAACTGAGATGATGTGTATCAGTCAGGAAGGGATGGCATATGCTCAGTAACAAGCTGCCCTATAGTCATCATGGCATCTAACATCCAAGGTTTGTTTCTCTCACACCGGTCATTGCAATGAGGGGAAGATGTGGCGAATCACATACTGGCTTGTATACTTCTCTTTGGAAATGACTTTGCTCACATTTCACTGGCCAAAGCAAGTCACATGGCCACCCCCGATGTCAATAGGGTGAAAAATATGATTGTCCTCTAGGGATCAGAACCAGCTGTTGTTACAATAATACATGATCTGTGCAGTGGTTAGCGCCACACCTGGCACACAGTGGGTGCTCAACAAATGGGCACCATTATAGGAAGAGCTTAAGGGCTGCAACAGCTAACTCTCCAAATCATCATGCCACATGAATGGGGAAACGGAATCCCTCAGCTCTACCCTTGCCTGCCCCTCCCCCTGCTTCCCAGTTGGAGAAAAGTGACAGCAGTCATTTCCAAAGAAGTGTTTATTGACATTTGGGGCCCCAGCAGAGACAGAGAGTCAGTGGGGGCTAGAGGCTCCTGAGGCCCAGGGCGAGGCCTACAAGATGAAGCCCATTGCTCAGGAGGCAGCCCAGATTGCAAATGGAGGACAGGCCATGGTAGCGGAAGAAGATCTGGCGGAGGGCACTGTACTTGGGGTCCTGCTCCCGCAGCTGACGATAGGGGTCTGAGCCCTGGTGGCTGCCCAGCACCTCCCCGCCCAGGCCCCGCTCCTTCTCCATGGTCTGCAGGGCCCACATGGCGGCCGTGGTGCGGGGTTCCAGCCAGCGGGCGTTGATGGTGGCCAGCATGAGGCTCAGAAGCAGCAAGCAGAGCTGGTAGGGCAGCAGGAGGACAAGGTGAGCCATGCCTGGGAGACAGCAGGGGCCCTAGGGAGGGTCCTTCTGCATCCTCAAAGCCCAGAGGGGAATGGGGGACAGGATTGGGTCAAAGCCAGGCCTCCCCACTCCAACCTCAAACCCAAACAGAGCTCCAGCTCTCATACCCTGAAACCTGCAGCTCCTAAGGAAAGGCTCCACCACTATCTCCTCTCTCTACCACTGTCTCCTCTCTCTCCCCCAAACCTCCTAAGCCTCCTCTCCTCTGATACCCTGACTGGAACTTTCCAGAATACAGCCTGTCTCCTACCTTCCTCTGTTCCCCCAAACTGAGGGTATCTCAGGGCAGAGCCTCTCTTCCCTGAATTGGGACAGAGCACCATAACTGTCCCCTCATTTCCCCAAAATAGAGAGCTTAAGAGAGAGCCCATCTCCTTTGTGGCCCCAGCCTAGACCCTAGAAGCTGACACTGGGTCCAGAGGGAGTGAATTAAAAGTCCTCGAAGTTCCAATTACCCATAATCCCTCCTGTGTCTGTGGGATTATTGAAACCCCTGTCAGGCCTCACCTGCCCACATCTGAGGGACATAATGGGGGCAGGGGGAGGGCAAGATAGAAAAATATGAGAAGCACAGATGGTTCCTTGCCTTGTGGCTGGGAAAAATGTGTGGATGAGGGTGGGGGACTGTAAATTCCCAGTCAGGCTGGTTTTTAAACACTGAGCTGGGGTCAGTGCCCCAGCCCAGCTGAGTCACCACAGCTTGGCTGCAGGCCCAGCCAGGGGGAGGAGAGGGAGCAACGGCCAGCAGAGAGACACTGCGGAATAGTCAGGGCTGCTGGGGATGGTTGTGCAGGCTGTGCACTGCTCAAGGGTATCCAGAACCCAGCTTTGTATACACCAGGAAGAAGGGGCAGTTTGGGGGGTTTCATTTTAATTCTCACAAAGGTGTAGCCATAGGTGCTCAGTGTGGTCCTAGGAATGAATCTCCAGAGGGTAGTGGAGCTCAAGCTGTCATACCTGGCTGGCCTCCCAGAATGTGAGCTGAGCCCCGGCACGCTGTGAGGCCAAGATGCAGAGGTTGACGAAGGCACAGCCCATGGAGATGTGAAAGTAGAAAGGGAAGAGTTTGCTCTGCACCAGGCCGAAGGTATGTCGGGGAAGGCCTCGGAAAAGCAGGAAGCCTGTGGGGTGCAGGGGACGACATGTCTGTTAGGACACTTCCAAGTCCCCCTCTCATCCCTGTCCCCACCTTAGGCACTCATGATATCCAGGCCGAGGGTCCCTACCTGAGACGAAGGTCACCCACATTTGCATGCCCCAGGCCCCTGACAAGACCAGTAGATGAACCACCTTAGTCAGGCTTTCCGGGTTCCCACCTTCCTCCATCTTGCGGGCCTGGGAAGGAGGCACCAGGTGGTCAGAGTTTTACCTTTGCCCTGTGGCCTTCAGACCCTGTGAGCCTGCACAAGGCCAGGGTCATGGTCTATCCAGCAGAGATCCAGGGATGGTAGCCCAGGAGTGGCGGTGCGGAAGACCCATAGCACTTCTGTGATGTCCCGACTCCATCTCTCCAAATGTCAGCCCTCAAGATCTTAGGCTCTCTGGACCCCAACATCCATGCCACCTCTGAGACCCCCAAATTTCAGCCCCAGCAGCTCAAGCTCGAAGCCCTAGATCCTCAGAGATCACCCCAGTGACTCCCAAATATCACCCCAGGGACCGAGTTCTGATATCAAAGACTACTCCTTTCATGACAGGATCCCAGATATCACTATGAAGATTCCCAAAGCACCTCCTGGAGACGCCATCTAATCCTGAGAAACCCTAAATCTCATCCCGAAGACACCGACCCCACCATTGGACCCGGACATCGACCTGCAGCACTCAAGAGTCCGGGGCCGGATCTAAGGGGGTCAGGCGGGCCCGAGGACACCGACCCCACCACTGGACCCGGGCCTCGACCTGCAGCACTCAAGAGTCCGGGGCCGGATCTAAGGAGGTCAGGCGGACCCGAGGACACCGACCCCACCACTGGACCCGGGCCTCGACCTGCAGCACTCAAGAGTCCGGGGCCGGATCTAAGGGGGTCAGGCGGGCTGGGCTTGGTACCTCACTCTCGCGCTCCGCGGTGGCCGCGGACCTCCTCGGCCACCTCCCCTCGTGGGACCAAGAATTCGTCCCGCCTCCCAGCTAAGCCAGAAGCCAATCGGATCGGAGATCTGTACCTCCTGTACCGCCCTCTTAGATATTGACTAATCGATGAACGGAATCCCGTCCACTCCTCGGGATTTCACCCAATTACACCGCGGCTCCTAAGATCTGCGGAAGCGGAAAGGTGCCAATGAGGTCTTCGGCTGCATCGGCGGGGGCGGAGCTAAAATGCCAGCCACACCCCTCTCTGTGACTGTACCTTTGGGCTCCGCGCGTTTTAATAGGATGGTGTCTCCACGGGATCAAATTTCAGCGTCACAGCTGGGGACTGGCTTCGCGGTCCCTGATGGGAGAGCAGGAGCGGGTGGTGTGTGGTAGGTGGGGGTGGAAGGAGATCGGGAGCTTGGCGAGCGCAGGATTTAAGGCCCCGGCGGGCGGGGCGCAGGATTCAAGGCCCCGGCGGGCGGGGCCCAGGCAAACGACCCCGCCCCGTTCCTTCAAGAATTCTATCGGGAAGGACTGAGGGAAAACAGGTGATGTGGGAGGGGGAGGGGGAGGGGGAGGGGGGGCTCGACTGGGGGCCTGCCTACAATTGACACTCAGAAATGCATCTTGCCTTTCCCCTCCAAGTCTCCCAGGGCTCCTATGATTCCCAAGTACCAAGTCCTCAGTGTGATGTTCAAGGACAGACACTGAGCTTCCCACTACTGCATATCAGGCACTGGCATGGATTAATTTACTTAATCACAACAACCCAGTAAGGTGGATAGTATGACATCCCATTTTTATAGTTGGGGACAATGAGGCATGGAGAGGTTTAGTAACTCCTCCAACATCGCACAGCTGGGAAGGGGCAAAGCTAGGATTTGAACCTGGGCCATCTAGCTGGAGGGTCTCCTTGCTTAATCATCATGCTGTACTGCCTCTGGAAGTGAGGACCTCCCTGAGGCGGTGACTTTTGAAGTGGTAGCTTAGAACAGTTCAGGCAGAATAATAACTCCTACATCACAGGGTGGGTGTGAACACCCAGTGAGGGCTTAGGGTGGTGCTCAGCACTCAGCAAGATGCTCAGAAAATATGAGCTTAAAAAGGGATTAAGGAAGATTTTACAGAGGCAATGCTTAGTAGGGTTTTGAAGGGTATGTAGGAGTCTTCCAGGAGGACTGGGTTAGGGGAAAGATACCAGAGGGCCCAGCAAGGACAAAAGAAGAGAAAGGCGTATACTGTGGCCTTTCTGGCTGACTGTGACCCATGGCAAGTTGCCCTTCACCTGGAAGTTTTTCCAGACAGACCTCCCCCAGGTTTCTCCAGCTGTGCCAGCCCTGACTACACTGGAAGGGCAGGGGGTGTGGATGTGAGACCCAGAACTGAGTTCTTTCCTGTTTCCAGCCTCACCTAGTACAGGCCTGGGACCCCATTCAGCTACCATTTATTAAATAGATATGCTCTGCCTCTCCTGCTCACATTCTATGTCTCCCATTTACTTGGGGAGCCAGTTCCCTGGCTTGGCTTGCCCTGCCTTGCTTGAACGGCCCTGCTAACCTCCTGCTGCTTCCTTTTGGACCCTGCCTCCAGCCACCCTGACATGACCTGCAAAGAGCACCTGGTTGCAGACTTCCAAGTTTTTGCACACGCTGTTTCCTGCCAGGGATGTCCTTCCTTTAGGGCCCAATGTTAAGATCTTTTTTCTTTTAGGCTCGTCTCAGACCTCACTGACTCCTGTGGGATCTTCTAGGTCCTTCTCACTGCCCATCCTAACCCCTGGGGCTGGGATCATCTTTCACCCAGCTTTGGCTCCTATCATAAATAAGAGGCCTGTGTTCAGGACTGAGGCCTCTCTGGGGTGTCAGAGAGGGCATGAGAGTGTCAGGACCTGGGAGCTGGTCTCAGTGCAGCCCTCTGTCCCCCCTACTCTAAGCAACCCTCTTCTGGCCCGCCTACCCCTGGACCCTGACTACTCCGTGCCTTGCTATTGCTCACCTCCGGTCACCCTCCAACGTGTGTTTGCCTGCTAATGAGAAGTGTGACAAGTGCTGCGGTTCGCTGAGCGGCTGCCCTGGGGCTGGAGAGCAGGAGGGGCTGGAGTGCTCTGGGCTGGCTCTCAGGAAACCTTCACCACACACCCCACTCCCAGGCCCTTCCTCAGAAAAGACCTTGGAATATACATTTCACTGGTCCAGGACCCCAGAGCCAGAGACCTTGCAGCTGGCTGCACCGGAAAACACAGTGACAATTGGAACCTGGAGGCCAGGGAGAGACTCGGGGCTTCAGTCTCATGGGTCCCTCCCCAACTCAGACTCACAGAAGCACTGTAATGACCAGGACCCTCCAAAGAGGCATCACAGCAACACTAAGGTCATCCGCACCCGGGAAACCCCTTCCTGCCGCACCGCTATCTACCGCTGCAGGGCTTAGGGAGGGAGCTGTGGGGGCAGAGTCCTCCTCGAGACCCCTCACACCCTCTGTCTTCAGCACCCCGAACAGCGCCCAGTGCTCAGCAGGCCTGCACTAAAAATGTCTTGAATGAATGGAACGGATGTGCGATTGTGTGTCTTAATGAGGTCCTGTTTGTGATTGTCTCTGGATGTGACGGCCTGTGTGTCTGTGGTTGTGTGTCTGAGATGGGCATGAGTGCATGCCCTGGGTCTTATGACTTAGTGTGCACGGCTGTGTCTGAGGCTGCGTGTCTGTGGTCGTGTTTTGATGACCATGTGTGGTTGTGCATCAGTGGCTACTGGTGCTCCTTGCAGACGTTGTTGATGCCCCTAAGGAGGAGGGCCATTCCCTGAGCGCAACCAGAGATGTGGCTCTGAAGGTGCATGCTCTCAGGGGCAGCCCACGGGCCTGCCACACAAATGCACTTCTGAGTGTTTTCAGGCTGGGGCAGAGGTGGGGGTGGGGGTGGCGGTGGGGTGCATGCGTATGCCTGGAGGCAGCTTTGCCTGCATTTGGGGGTCTAGGACACCCAGAACTCAGCAGACCCAAATCATGTCTGGCCCACACACACTGGGTTGGGGTGAGCAAGGAGGCAGACCAGGGATAGATTATTACTGCTCTCATGCCCACCTTTCATAGAACCCCTGGGAGACTAGCTCTTCCAAAACCAAAGGTGAGAACCTTCCCACTCAACAAGACTGTGGGTGGGAGACCTGCCAGCTCCTACCTCCACCCTCTGCCCCAGCCTCAGCGGACCCCCACCGTTGCTACCCACTCATCCCTGCCCCATTGTCAGCTGACCCTTACCCCTGACCTCACCCACCATCCCTGTCCCTGACCTTGACCCCCTACTCCTGCCTCTGCCTCTGCCTCAGCCTACCGCAGCTTCTTGCCCTGTCCCCCCTCAACCAGACCCTGAGCCTCTACTGACCTCTGCCCTGACCTTGCCCCTGCCCCCAACCCCTCCCAGCCTCGGCTGACCCTCACCTGTACTCACAATTAAGTCCACCGTGATGATTCCCGAATCCCAGAAGCTTCTGAGATGTGGACTGGAGTCACTCAGGTGTCAGCTACAGGCCCAGACCAAGGTGAGCCACCTCAGCCCCGCCCCCAGCAGTTGTTTCCCCTCCACACTCCACCCCTGCTCTCACCCCCAGGCCTGGCCTCTTCCTCCAGGCTTTCGAGTTCCTAAACCACTCAGTGACCATGTTGAAGGACAGCTGCCTGCAGCAAATCAAGATCCAACAGCTTGAAGGTGAGAACTGGCCAAAGGTCAAGGTAAGGCTTGAGGCTGCTCCTATCAGGGTCAGCTGAGTCAGGCCAGGGTGAGAGAAGTTGGCTGTGTCTGGGTTCAGGACCAGAGTCTGGTCAGGGTGGGGGCAAGCTGGGTTCAAAGCTGGGCTCAGGGTGTGGGTGGGGCTCAGCCAAGGTCCCACCATCTCTCTAGAGATGCTGGGCCCCACGAGCCGCCAGGCAGACAAGGAGAGACACAAGTGGGACGTGGAGAAGGGACGGCAGGAGCTATATGAGGCCCTGGCTAAAGGCCTGCAGGGGCTGCAGAAGACCCTGTATGACAACGAGGAGGTGCAGCGGGCCCGTACCACCCGCTGCCTACAGCTGTTGGCTCAGGAGATCCGGGACAGGTGGGTATTGCCAGGAGGGAGGGAAGGGAGGCCAGGGAGAGGGAACCACAGGTGGGATGGGGGAAATGGGAGGGGCCTGAGTAAGGGAGTCTGGGGGGCCTTGGAAATCTTGGGGGACAAGAGGAGGGGATGGGGGAGGCAGGAGGCAGTGGGGGGGTGTGGGAGACTGGGAGGCCAGAAATAGGGGAGACAGGAGGTGGGATGGAAAGGGAGGCTGGAGGATCAGAAAGCTGGTGGGGGTGGCATGGGAAGCTGGAGGGTAGAGGAGGTTGAGGGGGGCAGAGGCTGGGGGTATTGGAGGTCTGGGGGGGCAGAAGGTGGGGAGCTGGAAGCCAGGCAATGGGGGGCTGAGGGAATGGGAGGCTGGAGGTCAGAAGGAGAGGACACGGGGCTAGGGAGGGGTAGGAGGTGGGGGAATAGTAGTAGGAGCGGACAGGTGGGTAGGCAGGTATGGGGAGGGGACAGAGCCTGGGAGATGGTAGTTGAACAGATAGAAACATGGGAGGTGGAGGAGGCTTTGGGGAGGCAGGTGGGCAAATGGGAAGCCAGGAGGTCAGGAAATGGGAGGCCAGAGGCTGCACTGTCCCCTCAGCAAGAAGTTCTTGTGGGAGGAGCTGGAGCTGGTGCGGGACGAGGTGACCTTCATTTATCAAAAGCTACGTGAGTGCCCAAAGCCCATGACCAGGAGGGCGGGGGGTCCTTCTGCAGCTCTGGCCCACCTGAGTCCCCTCCCCCTACAGAGGCGCAGGAAGAGGAGATTACGGAGAACCTGGTGAACATCCAGAAGATGCAAAAGACACAGGTGAAGTGCTGCAAGGTGAGTAGAGAGCACGGGGACCTTGCATGAGTTGGGGTTATGGGGATCTCTGCCAGCCTCCACCATCAGACTGGAGCCAGAAAGCATGGGTTCAAATCTCAGCTCTGCTTCTTAATGCTCTGTAACTGTGGGCAAGTCACTTCCCCTCTCTGGGCCTCAGTTTCCTCATCTGAATAATGGGTGTAACAATAGAGCCCTACCTGACCAAGTAGCTGCATTAACTGAGTGATAAGCGCTTTGAAGGCAGCCTGGAATGTGATAAATGTTATATTACATGTTTCACCATCATCATCATTATTATTATTATCCTCCCATCTCCCCCGGCCTCAGGTCCTGACCAAAATGAAGCAGCATGGGTATGAGACATCCAACTGGCCAGAGACTGAGGAGTTGCCACCAGGAGGCAGTGGCTCCTGGAGGGATGACCTCCAGAAGGAGCTGGGTGACATATGGTGATGCCCAGCTCCCACTCTAACCTCTGACCCCTGACCCTCATCTGCCCTGTGCTCCTCCCAATCAGATCAAGCAGCAACCACCAGAACCTGGAACGCACCTGAGTCCACATCTCCCTCTCCTCCCAGGACTCATCTCTGCCCCTGCCCCCACCATGGCCTCCCTGCCCCAGCTTTGAGCAGTCCAGAGTCCCCCCCCCGGGGCCCCCAGATCCCCATCTCCCCACAGGTCCGCTGTGCACCTGCTGCAGAACTCCTTTGGTGGCCTCGCCATATACTCAGGGGGCTGCCCCAGGGCTGCGAGCCTCAGGGGTGAGTGGGGTTGAGCAGCACTCCAGGGGTGGGGGAGGTTCATTCTCCAGCTTCACACATGGAGGTCATGTTCAGAGGCCATAGTTGGGGGTGGTTGGGTCTGTTGGGTCTTATTCTAGGGTCACATTAAATAATTTTCTGGGGTGACATTAAAGAGTCCCTGGAGGTTTCATCCAGGGGTCACTCAGGGTCACTGTGATCTTTTTTAAGGGTCAGTGGTGTAAAATTCAGGTGTCATCGAGGTCATACTTTGGTGTCATGTTGGGTCATATTCAAGGGACATAATCAAGGATCACATAATATCAAGGGCACTGGGCCCATATTCAAAGGCCACTCGAGGGTCACATTCAGGGTTTGTGCCAGGATTGCACCTGTCCCTCCTGCTGGCTATAGGGGGCACCGATGCCTGAGCCCGCCACGCCCCTCCTGGAACTCGGACTCGGACTCAGACCAGGACCCTTCCCAGCCACCACTCAGCAAGAGCTGCTCCTTCCCACCTGGTGTGGATACTCCCCTGCCCCAACCTACCCTTCCCCTCCTGGCCTGCCCTGGAATCCCCAAGTACACGCCCTTCCAACTCCCAGCCTGGGCATCTGCTCCCTGACCTCCAGCCCTGGGGTCACCTGGACCAGGCCAGCCTCTGACCCACCCTCTTTCTCCACAGCCTGAGCAGCTGGGACTGCTCTCCCTGAAGACCCCTCCATAGAGAAAATAAACTAGCTGCGACCCTCCTCCACCTGTGGACTGCTGCTCCTGGCTGCTTCCTGTGCCTCAGAGTGACCCCCACAGTTTACTACCCAGTCTTGGGGAGGGACTGTTCGGGATATGTGGGCCTAGGGTCAGGGGACAGTGTGAGGCTGGATTTAGTATATGACAAGGTCAGGGGTAAGTCTGTCTAGATATGAGTGGCCAGATAGGCCCTTGGCGATCTGGCCTGCTGTCCCTACTGCCCAAATGGGGAAATTGAGGCCCCTGACCCTCATCTGCCCTGCGTTCCTCCTAATAAGATCAAGCAGCGACCCCCGGAACCTGGAACCCACCTGAGTCCCTCTCCTCCCAGGACTCATCTCTGCCCCTGCCCCCTCCATGGCCTCCCTGCCCCAGCTCTGAGCAGTCCAGAGTCCCCCGGGACCCCAAGATCCCCATCTCCCCCCAGGTCGGCTGTGCACCTGCTGCAGAACTCCTTTGACGGCCTCGCCATATCCTCAGGGCGCCACCCTAGGGCCCCGAGCCTCAGGGGTGAGGGGGGTTGAGCAGCACTCCAGGGTGTGTGTGGGGAGATCATTCTCATCTCCGCCCAGGGTTTCGGCCCGGGGTCACGCTCTGACACCCCACCCTCCTCTTCCTCTCAGCACCCACCAGGGTCTTCCCTCCCAACCTTCAACCTTTGTTCCCTCCCGAATCTATTCTAAAACGCCCTGCCCCAAAGAGCAACAGAGGCCCCGCCCCGGATCACGCTAATGAGCCTCCGCGAGGCCCCGCCTCACGGGTTATGCAAATAATGCTCCCGGTGGCCCCGCCCCTCTCCCCGCCGCGGAGTCTGCGCTGCGCGGCGCGGCGCGGCCCGGCCGGCCGACGGCGTCTCCATCTCTGCGTTCGCTCTCTGGCCGGCCGTCTGTCTGTCAATCCCGCCGCGCCGGGGCCGTCTAGGTGGATCCGGGGCTCAGGCGGCAGGAGTCTAGACCCGGTGAGGGGGAGGGCCTTGGGGAGCCCCCTGTACCCCTTCTCGCCTGCTTCCGACCCTCGGTCTGGTCTGTCTGGCCAGGGTTCGGTTCCTGTGGGTCGGGTCCCCTGCGGGTCCAGCACGGGGAGGGGGAGGGGAGGCTGCGAGCTGAGGCTTGGGGACCGGGCTGGGGGAGGGGAAGATGGGGAGGCGACCCTGGTGAGGCTGACGGTGATTGTGTGGTTGTCGTTATGTGTCAGTGTGTGGCTGTATGAGAGATTGTGTGGCTTCAGGGGTGTCTGTGTGGTGTCTCTGTGACTGTGTCTCCTGTGGCTGTCATTTGCGGCTGTCGCCGTGGTTATCACTCTGATGGTGAGTGTGTGGTGGCTGTGTTGTCGGGGTCGCCTTTGAGTGGCCGTGTGACTGCTGTCACAGTGATTGTGTGGCTGGCTCGGTGTCTGTATGGTTGTGTGCATGTGACTGTCACTGTGTGGCTGCTGTTGTGTGTTCCTTCTGATGGTGGTGGGGGGGGCCGTTATTGTGTTCCAGTGTGTGGCTGTGATCATGTGCCTTTCCTGTGTGGCTCTGTGTGCGAGTCTGTGCCATGGTCCATGTCTGTGCCCTCGTGTGGCCATGTGGCTGTGGTTGTGGATGGCACAGGGCGCTCCTAGGACTGTCAGTGTGGATGAGAGACTGTTAATGTGTGTCATCCTGTGCCTTGTAATTGGGGGTGTGACGCTGTGACCAGTTCTGTGACCCCCCCCACACACACTGTGTGTGGTGACTCTCTTTTTTTTGATGTGGCTCTTAAGTGTGTTGGCAGCCTCGAGTCTGTCCCTGACGGTGGTGGAGTGAGGGCTGGGTGTGAGGCTGTGAGTTGTGTGAAGGACCTCCTGTTGTGTCCCAGTGACCGTGTGTGGGGGACATTTGTTTGATCTGTGTGGGTGTCTGTGCCAGGCCGTGTGCACACTGTGGTGTGTGTGTGTGTGCAGCTATGTGTGTAGTGGGTGTTGGGCACCTGTCTGAATGAGCGAGCCTGTCTTGTTCACCACAAGGCTGGCACCCAGCACAGGGCCTGGAACCCAGCAGGCCCTTGATCCTTGTTGGTAGGATGAATGAGTGCTGTGCGATGGTGTGTGTGTGTGTGTGTGTGTGTGTGTGGTGTTTGGGATGGAAGCTCTGGCTGACTTGTGTACTCTGGGGGTGCCGGTGTGTGTTTGTGTCTCTAAGAAGGTGAGGGGGCCATGGCCAGGTGGGCATCTTGGGCATCTTGGGCTCTCTGGTGACCCTCACCCCCACATGTCACATTGCAGAGCAAGCCACGTGGATGGGGCACTGGACCCAGAGTGCCTACCCTTACCTGCCTGGGCCTCAGTTTCCAAATCTGTGCAATGGGGGTGACCATCCCTGCCCTGCTGGCCGCCAGGAGTGGCTGTGAGTCTGTGGGCGTGGCAGCGGCCTGCAGGAAGTCATAGGGCCCTTTCACAGGTGAGGTTAGGCTGGGAGAATGGGTCAAGCAGGTGTGACTGCATTGGCCTCTCAGTGCTGGGGACTGAGGTTAGACTGTGGGGAGGGGAGAGCACATTGAGGGGGAGATAGCCCTCTCTTGATACAGGAAAGCAGACGGGCTGGGAGGAGGGGGAAGGAGGGAGAGAGGGAGAGGCAGCTGGGAGAGAAGGAGGGCCTGGCCATCAGCCCGAACCAGTCAGGCACAGCCCATGGGGACAGGAGAGGGAGGCCCCTGAGGGCCATGGGGGAAGTGGTATAGGGGGAGGGGCTTGGTGGGGGTGGGTGACAGGGAACATGGGGTCTCCTGTAAAGCATGTGGGGAAAGAGTATGGGGTCTCCTAAAAACTAGTGGGGGTGAGGACCCTTCTTTCTGGGGGAGGGGTCCACATTAGCTGGAGAAGTCTCTGTTAAAGGCCAAGGGCATGGGTCCCACATGCTAAGGAGGCCAGGCCCTCCTAAAAGGTATGGGGTCAGAATCTCCTGTGTAGGCTGTTGGGGGAGAAGACCACTATACAATCTGTGGGGACCCCAGCAGAGGCTGAGCTGAGCAGGTTGTGTCAGGGGAGGCTGGTGCCTCCAATGGGCAGGGGCAGGGGCAGGGGCAGGGCAAGACCTGCATATGCAGAGGCGTGGCCAGAAGGCTCAGGGGGCGGAGCCAGGGCTCCTTGGCTGTAGTCCGAGGGGCCAGGGATGGGGGCCAGGTTGTGGCCAGAAGACTCCACAAGCAGGTGACCTGAACCTCCCCTTAGGCCCCACCCTGGCAGTGCCACTCCCTCCCCTTCTCCACAGGCCCGGCCTTCACCATGGCGGGAGGGAGACCTCAGCTGAAGAGGAGTTTCTCCATCATTCCCTGCTTTGTCTTTGTGGAGGTGAGGCGCAAGTACCTCCCCTGCCCAGACCCTCAAGGGGGAGGAGGCACTTTCGGAAGTGGCAATCGGGGATTCAACCCAGCTCTGCCCATCATTACTGTGAGACTCTGGGCACCTCACTTACCCTCCCAAGCCTGTTTCCTCATCTGTCAAATGGGCATAATTACAGTCCCTCTCTCCTAGGACTGTTATGAAAGTAAAATGGATTAATTCATGGAAGAGGTTTAGTATGATGCCCTGCCCACAATAAGAGTTACACCTGTGGTAACTCTAGTATTTCTATCAGTAGTATTTTTTCTTTCTCTGTTGGTTTGTTCCTCCACTACCCACTATCTCTCTCTCTCTGAGCTCTGGCCCTGTCCTCTCTCCCTCTTCCCAGTCCCATCTCCTCTCTCCTCTTCATCTCTCTCTCTATCTCTCCCCCTTGTCTCTGTCTGCATCTCTGTGTCTCCATCTCCGTGGCCCAGCTCAGGCCTGACCCTCTCTGTTCTTACTCTGTCTCTCTCCCCACCCTGGCTGGGCGGCAGTCGGTGCTGCTGGGCATCGTGGTCCTGCTTGCTTACCGCCTGGAGTTCACGGACACCTTCCCCGTGCACACCCAGGGCTTCTTCTGCTATGACAGTACCTATGCCAAGCCCTACCCAGGGCCTGAGGCTGCCAGCAGAGCACCCCCGGCCCTCATCTACGCCCTGGTCACCGCTGGGCCCACCCTCACGGTGAGACTGGGGGTAAACTGGCTCAGACTGTGGGAAGGGCCTTCCAGGAGGCAGGAGGGCCAGGTGGAGATGGGTGGAGGGCTGGGCTTGAAGGCCAGGAAGACCACGCCTCGGTCTTGCCCACAGATCCTGCTTGGGGAGCTGGCACGTGCCTTTTTCCCTGCACCACCGTCAGCCATCCCAGTCATTGGGGAGAGAACCATCGTGTCTGGGGCCTGCTGCCGCTTCAGCCCCCCGCTGCGGAGGCTGGTCCGCTTCCTGGGTGAGTGACTCGGTCAGGGGTCAGCCATGCAAAACGGCTATGGGCCAGGCTCAGGTATAATAAGAATTCCAGGGGCGGAAGGCCTAGGATTGCCATGATGGTGACTTCATGGGGAAAGAGGGATGTGGGTCTGAGGTCAGTCATGGTGGAGGTTCTAGAGACATGGGTGGGGCCTAAGCCAACCTTGATGACAACTATAAGAGGAGGGCCCCAAATTGCCCAAGGAGAGTCTCAGGCAGAAAAAGCACAGGACAGACACCAGGGGGCCCTGGGGGCAGGGAGATGAGAACACTGGCTGCACTTTGAATATGGTCCCAGCCATAGTTGGTGGCCTTGGGGTAGGGCAGAGCTCATCCAAAATGGTGGTCCCTGTGGCAGAGGGCTGGAGATCCAGCCCTGGCTGAGTGGTGCTCCAGGAGAAAAGTGCTCAGCTCAGCAATAGCGAGTCCAGGGGCAGGTATAGGAGCCCCAGAAATGCCATCACGGTGGTCCTAGGAGGTCCCTGGCATGGGCCCAATCCTGATGTAGTGCTGTTGAGGGGTCCTAGTCCAGCTATAATGGATTCCAGAGGAGGGCCCACTCCTGGCATATTGGTAATCCCGGAGGGACAGAGGCCAGAGGCCCAGAATGCCATCATGGTGGTCCCAAGGGAAGAGGAACATGGCCCAGCTATTATGGGGTGTGGTGTTAGGGGGAGTCCCAGCTGTGCTTT